ATTGTAGTCCAGTCAACCTGTGTCGTAAAACACCAGTTGAAGGAAAAAAATAGTATAAAGCTAATTTTTTCCCCATCGGCTACTACCATTTAGACAAGTGTTTAGCCAAAAGTCCCCGCCCCTACCCCCTTGCTTCCCCCCCTGTGCCACCCTAAACATGAAAAGTGTAGGGGTTTCGTAAATCGCGTCTCTCTCGATTACTAAACAACATATCGGATTGCAATTTGTTTTATTCTCTTTGCTATAACATTGTCTACAAATAAGTTTCAGTTGACTTTCGTCGTAACTTTTACCGTTTGTTTGTAATTCGTATGAAAAGGTAAAAAGTGGTATATTTTTCGGCACGTAATTTTACTTTTTGTCGCAGCAATTTTCACGCCGACATTTTATCAAAAAATGTTCCCTACAAAAGTTGTAGCTCCCATTATTACCTTTAAAATGATATGAAATAGTACTTACTTTGTTGAAGAGCCTGCGAGGTTCAGTCGGTGTAATGCAGAATGCGTACCCAGTCGTGGCGGGTTCCGTCGAGGTGGGCCCGGCGGCGCGGCGTTGCAATGCTAATATTGTTGTATAGTGCGTGTTTTTTTTTAACTTTAAGGTACACTATTGCATTTTCTCTAAACTAAACCCAACGAATCTCAGTGAAACCTAAATTCCACCCTATTTAAATTTGTGTCAAATATTAATTAAGTCCTTGTATAGGTACAGCTAAAAAACGTATTTTAAATAGTTTTTTGTTTGAAAATGTGTATGTTATTTTAGAAGAAAATAATTGCGGTATCTTAATTCTTCATTTTCCTCGACTTCAACCAAAGTTACATTGCTGCATGATCCATCCCCAGTCCGTAGCGCTGATTTCCTTATCTCCATTCCATTTTTGAATTTGATAGATGCTCGATAAGCGTGTTGTTCAGCAGCTCCAGATGTTGGAGCGAGGGATGCCATGTTAAATTTGGATTTTAATGACATTTTTGCAACAGCTTTAAGTTACATTGAATATCTACTGTCATTCAGACATGCAGACCTTGTGCATCGATATAGTTTCAAGAAAAAAGCCTCTTCTACCTCTTTGAGAATATTTGTGTCTGCCTGTTTTTCATAAAACTGTTAAGCTTTTGTGCGATCATTTGATGAACTTAGCAATTTGTTCTCGTTGATTTTGCCTTTGCCGAATAAAGAAGACCTGGTATCACATCCTGTGATAGCATAAAAAAATATCACATCCTTCACATCACCAATCTCTTCACGGGTCTTGCTGATGTCATAGGTTGATGGTGTGCCAGAGAGTTTGTGAAAGAATAGTTGTACATTTTGGCACTGTGGTAGCCCTAAGAATTGAACGAAAAGATCTGTATCCTGTCCGACAACAACTGTAGGCCTCACACTTTGAATCTGGGAGACACTATTGCTCTTCCAAAATCAACGCGTACAAATTGCTAAGTTCATCAAATGACAGTTTTATGAAAAACAGGCAGACAAAAATATTCTCAAAGAGGTAGAAGAGGCTTTTTTCTTGAAACTGCACCGCCCAAGTAATTATAGTCACTACCACTAATAGCCTTCCGTGCAGAACCTTCGCCATTCCTGGCGGCCTACTTCTCAATAAACAGAAAACTTTAAATATCCCGAAAACACAAGAATCTATCAGACGAAATTATCTAAACTCGTCACAAATTGGGAACGAAGTCATAGTCGGCAAAATCTTGTCAAATCACTAGCGCCCTTCACCCACCAAACTGTGGGTGGGGTTGACTGGCCGTTGTTTAGTTGCGTTATACGATACGCAGGGCTCTCTTTGGTAGGGATATTCTGCTGCCCGCCCCTACACATGTAGGGGTATACAGGGGACTTTACCGTCAAAACATCTAAGGCAAATCCAAAACATGAAAAAATACGCTAGCGGGCTCCCGTTACAAGAATCCACGAAAATTCCCGTGAAGCTCCAGGTTCATTTTTAATACTCACTACTACTATGCCTTTAGGGAATAATAACTTCTATTAATTAGTAACGTTGTCACCGCCGTTGATTGATATTTTAAAATTCGGGGGTTTACATATTAGAAAACGTAAATTTTTTTAGTGCTGAATTAACAACGTTATTTATATGCTCCTCCCATTTTAACGTAATTGTAAGTTCTACTCCTAAATCCCTAATTATTTTTACAGTTTGCAGTTTTTGTTGGTCCATAGAGTAATCCGCTTCGGTATATCCCTTCTTCGTTGTATACGTCATGCTTTTGAATTTATTGATATTAAAGTAAAGTTGGAAATAGTTGCACATTATCAGCATTCTTAATTTCTTTAAATCATCTGCAAACATTAAACAGCGAGAGTATTTGATATTTAAAGGGAGATCATTAATGAAAAGTAGAAACAGGAGCGGGCCCATATTGCTTCCTCGGGGCACTCCTGATATACATACATATTGCAGTCTATTTTGCAGATGAGAGAGTTACAGTTTGTCATCTACACAACTGTACGTACATCAGACGTACATATTTATCCCTTGGGCGTACGTACGTGAGTTGAACCAAAAATGTACGTGCAGCGGACAATTCGTGCTATATTGGTTCTAGATTACTTCAGACCTTAAAGCCTTTACTGGTTCTTAATTACTCAACCTTTAACAGGTTTTATGGATTTTGAGAGATTTTAAGGAGATTTTTTTATGGATCTTTAATAACCTTAAGGATTAGTCAAAGCGATTAGGTTTTTGTGTCTTCAAGAATTTGTGAAACCCTTCATGAGTCTGTTACGTTCGTGAGTCATCTGAATTTGTCAGTTCTATTGCTTTTGAGGATTAAAAGCCGCTGGAACGAACAAACGACGGGTCGTCACTTTGTGAAAATAAAAAATCCGCAAAAACAGATTTTATTTTTTATTAAAGCACATACAGAGTGTTCCACGACGAATGTCGGCTATCTACATCTTGTCAAGGAGACCACGGGATGTTTTGAAAACTTTGATCTTGTGTAAATTTTTATTTCTATTTTGTAGGATTAGGTACTGTTTTAGATGATAAGAAAAAGGGGCACTTCTTTAGTTCTTGCGTCACAGCCAGCTAATGAAAATTCCTAAAAAAAACGTAGTTGACAATGGAACAAATAGGGCTAGGGCATTTATTATAAATATTCCAGTTTAAAGATTTACGGCTAAATTTAAGCAGGTTAAACGCAAACGTTTGATCTGTGGTTTCCTACTGAATTACGAATACCCTGCCACGCCGAGAAATAATTAATTGTTTTTGTCATGTTGCTGTGTGTCAATTTTATCCTTAACTTATTGTTAAATAAAATGCTGGTTTGCAAAAAATGTTCAGCAGCACATTGACTAAGATTACAATAAATTAGGCGTTTGAAAGAAAACAGAGGGATTTTTAATTAACTTTGCCCATAGGCTAAAAGTGCACGCTATATTATTCACAGTTGAAAACCAGCCCACTCGATGTAAAGCATGTTGGCGTCAAAGAATCGACACCCTGGGGTGAAACATTATCCTAAACGTAAATAAGAAAGATGACAGAGGTGATCTTTGCGTCATCTCTCTTTGAGCTTTGATTAATTATTGGCTTTATCCTGTGCCGGTCTTTCCCTACCTTATACGTGCTAATCCCGTCAATATGTTAATTAAATTTCGTGGTTAGCTTTCTCGTACTCAAGTATCCGTGTCTGAGTTTCCGCAAACTTTCGTACGCGTGAGGTTAAACCTTTTGTCAATCAATCAAGAAATAAACTCTTCTTTTAGTGGTTCTTGTCATTTATTCTGTTTAGGAAGAGTTATTTTTCTTAACTTCTAACTTGTACGAACACGCGGGATTCTTAAGTAGGAAAAGTTTTTTGCGAGCGCTTTTTGCCGTTAAAAAGATATCCGCTTTCCTTTAAATGAGGATCGCTTAGGATATTTAGTGTCACATTCATTTGGAGCTTTTTCTGAATCGCACCTTACTGCGAGGCTACCGCTACGGTTACAACGTATGCGTTGGTTTATTAATGGCACATTCGAAACTGAAGTAGGTCGTTTGTTTCAGATAACAAATTCGTCTGCGACTGCCGACTGGCTTGGATGCACGCTTTAAGAAATGAAGCAAAAGGCGAGAAAATACGTGAGGCGTTAGACAAACTAACGTGTCATTTACAAAAGGCGGATGGTGAATCGTCGATCAAGCCTCACGCCGATGCAGTGCTGAATCGTCGTCCAAATACCTCCACAGGTTTGGATTACGCAGGCGAGGACGTCGATGACACCGTCTACTATGACGACGACGACGAGGATGAGCAACCGCAGAAAAGTTCGCCTGAAAATTTGCGGCGTGTTCTGGAAATTCCTCCATCGGAATTACCGTGCGCGAATGCATCTACAACGCAGGCACCTCGAATATTGTTAAATACACCTTCTTATGCTGAAATAAATTCTAATAGCGGCGCAATTTGTCAATTTTATACGGTATTGTCTTGCTGTATCTTTATGCTGGTAGGTGTATCATAGAACTTCGCATGTCTTTTTCTTAACCAAAACCGACAAAAAGACTTGTAAATAAAATGCATGTACAGTTTTGTGCTTTCTGATCTGATAATGGTAATTATATGAATAGACTGTGATACTGTAAAGAGTTTTAGAAAGATTTTTCCTTCTAACTACAATGTGGTGTGGGAATTCTTCTTCAGTACACGTTTTTTTTTGTAAAGGTTGGCCTGTCACAGGATCACATTCATGAAAATTTAAATACTCTGAAACTTGCAGATTTTTTGCAGTTAACTTTGGGAAATTACGAAGTAACCTGTTCCTGCGCCTCTAGTTAGTTGTAACAACTTTTTAAAATTGATAACCTACTCTAGAGAGCAGTGCGATAGCATAAAAGGTGATAAAAATGGCAACATTCATTTTAAATGAGTTTACCTAACACTGTGACAGATAAAGGTTCATTTCGCTTAACTTATTCAATATTCCAAACTGCGTTGAAAGACCAACCCTTAGAAAACGTGAACGGAAAATTATTGTTTTATGTAATGACACGATGTTGTGTTGTCAATTATTTATTTAGGATTAGTCAGACGACCATTTGTATTGTAAGCGTAACTGTGTAATATAAATACCTGGTAACTAACAGTATTGTTCAACATTAATTGTCAGCCTTTTGAAAGGGTTTAACGAGTGCCCAAATAACCGGAACGATTTTCAAGTTGCTTGATTTTTACGAAGCTATACAGAGGCAATTGGGGTGGTTTAAAATTAAAGTTCAAATTTAATACATAATCGTCACATTCCGGAGAATTTTCTGAAATTAGTCAAATAGCACTAACCACGAAGAAGGCGTATGTGTAACCGCATGGCAGTAAAAATAAAATTTAAACTACTACCGTATAATTTAAGACTAAATCAGTATCATAATATACTATGTTAAAGTATCTATATATGACAGCTGTTAGTGAGATTTTAACTCGGTTGGACCATAAAAAGTGGACAAGTTAAGTACATTTGCTTTGCATTTTATTATAACTGGAACAATAATTAAATTTATGCCAACGTTTCTTTAGAAAAAGATGATGGATTCATTTCACAACCTCCAGACCCATTGTGCGTTTGTTGATTCTGTTAATGCAGCCGTAAAAAACTAATTTCATACTTTAAAGTAATAATCGACTAAATCGTAACCATTTACAAAGTAAAGGGAAGCAATAAAGTGTCAGAAGGACTACACACGACCGAGCTTAATTCTCAGTATCTCTCTTGCATATCAATTGCTTTACGTTTACATGTGTCTATGCAACCGTTTTTATGACTGTTGTCAAACAAGTGTTTGTGCTGTGTTTTTTTAAAGCAAATGTCCCCTTTCTACCACAGTTAAATGAAACTGTTTCGAAGAAACTAAATTGACGTAAATGTACCGACGATGTAAATTGTAATTACGCGGATTTTAGTCTAAGTACCTAAGTATTAATTAATTTACGTCAGCTCATTGTGTATTGTAAGGATATTCAAAGTGTTTTATAATAAAACGTTTACTGTTTCCTATACAACTTTAGTCCTTATTTTACCTTGTTTACCTAAAATCCAATTAGTGTACAAAGACGTTTGTTATAAGATTTCCTTGTATTTAGTTTGCAACGTATACAAAACCGATGCGCCTATAACTACCTGCGGCGTACTTACCTTCAAGCAGCTAATTCTAACCATAGGGGTTAATAACTTCTGCATTGTAATAATGTAACATATTAGTTACATATTCGAGTTACTAACTTAATTATGTGAGTTTCAACACTCACCCTTTTGTCGATATGGTTTAAATAATAATTAGCCTAAATAAAATAATTTAATGTAATCGTATTCCACCCTTACAAGTAACTATCGAAGAAACTAAAAATGTAACATAAAGAAACGTAATTCAAATGGTGAAGGCAAAACGTAAAAAAAGGAAATTAATGTCTTCAGTGTGTACTTTCACAGGTCGGTCTTTCATGTTACAAACAAATTTAAACGTCAATTGGGCCAACTAAAATACTTTTAGGCACCTGAGTATATGCTGAAGTCGCAATTGTCACTTGTTCCAAGAAGATTCAAGAAGAATCTTGTCGACAGATAAACAACTTTGTTTAAATAGATTTTCACGTATTTTCACAAAACAGTCACGTATTGATAAGGAAACTAGATAGGAGCTTTAGGTTGAAATAATGCCGACAATAAGGGTATGCTTTCCTGGGTTGCTCAATAATGCGCATAGGTAGCGTAATGTTCGTTTAAAGTTACGGAAATGGCAAGCGGCACACCCATGTTTAACATTCTTGAAAGTCAGGAAATCCGGTGGAATTTTGCCACAATTAGGCACATAATTGATAATGATTTAATTTCAATTGCACCTCTACTTTTGCTATAAAAACTGTGCAATAATTTAGTATGTTTGAAGACGTAGTAACTAACCAACATGTGGGCAAAGGATGTATTGCGAATTATACAACAGATCCTTCATAAGCGGACTTTATTAAAGCAAAATTTAATTGATTTAGATAAATGATGGCACTTGGCATATGCAAAGTCTTTAGATTAGATTAAGTGTGATGTAAAGAAGTGCTCGTATTTCGTCTTCCGAAGATGAACAGAGGGATGGAGATGGTCAGGACCTAAAAAACTTTACGGTTGATGTGCGTGGCCCTCTGTATCAGTTGAGTTAGCATCCGTAATAGTCCGTTGCGTGAAAATTTCAAATACGCCTTTTTCCGTCAGTCAGCCGGTGTTTATATTTATGTTAAAATAACGTGAATCGTGTCTTGCTTTCGTCGTCTATCGCATCTGTACAGGCGAAATATATTTTGACTCCAAAAGGACTGTAACGATCAGAATCCGACCATTAGTTCAAAAGTTGTGGGAAAACAACAGTCTTTGCAAAAAAAAGAAATGGCTATACACTTGCCAGACAAATCCATAGAAATAAAACGACCTGTCCCTGTCCACTTGTCCCAAGAACTTCTGGTCTGCAGAAATCAGAATGGCAAGAATTCCTCGCATCAAGTGGTAGCCTCAACAATACAACTCGTAAATGATAAATTGCATGTACATAAAAAAACATCATAATGGCGTGACTCTACTCCAGCCTCGGATACCAGAGATAGACATAAGTAGAAACAAAAGTTAAGCAAGTGACCCCTTTTCGTATAGCTTGCCCACCGTCGGACTGCATTAGGTACTTCCTTCACGGAATATAGTTAATGTGAACCATACAGAGCATCATCACACAGAAGTGTATTCCTCGTGAATACAAAAATGAACACTTAATAAAACAAGACAATGGCCGCCAAAACCGCAAGAATGAACCTAAAGTAATCGATCCTGATTTTAAATAAAGCCTCTCAATCGAATATGTACCTACATCCAATATGAACAGAAAATTGTTTTTACGAATCAAAGGCTACCTATCTTAGAGCGTGCAAATACATGGAAAAAGTACACCTGGATCCGGAACAAGTAACCTTTTTTTTCCTTGTAGATTTTGACGTGTAAACTCCATAGCAATGAAATATGTCGAGGTTGTACTCAAATTTTATATAAGGGCGTTTTTCTCGACTGAGGTTAATCGGAAAAGTAACTTGCATTGGAAAACCAGAGCACAATTTCGATTTAATTTGTTTTTAATCAATTTATAACTTCAAAGTTCATTTGATTATTGTGTTTTAGAATAAATAAAGGCATAATTTGATTGCCGCCCGTTTACTTACGTAATTGTAAGTCAAGGCCGGATTTGAAATACGTGAAGTTTGGAAATGAGCTAAACAAGTTAAATTGTCTAATGAATAAGAGCCCTTCACCAACAGTACAAACTGAAACTAAATTTATCTTTAACTAAGTAAAGATCTTGCCCGAATTTATACATAATTACAAATTCTTCATTACCGCTTTCCTGCAAAGGCCTTATTATGCGAGTTTAGGTACAATTTGGGGTACTAACGCCTGCCTAATAGCATGCAAATGTACAGTACGGTTGAACTTAATTTCCTTTAGCGACTCTCATGATACAATAGGCGATATTATGCAATCCCGAAACACACCCTACGGCACTGCCAGGTATCCTACTATGAATATAATTGCATATATCGATTGTATTCGGGTCGGTGAAGCAATTTCAACTTCTCCCCTGCAGTTCGCTTTTTTTTATTTGATTCTCTTCAGCGTACGTCGTTGTTTTGCCAACAGCTCCGCTAATTTTAACGAAGCCCGTCCTTTGTGTGCTCTTTATGGGGAGGATGATTAAAATGAGATCATATAGCTTTGCGCGTTAATGTCGATACGAGCTTTTTTAGCGGTGGACAGAAGCATGCAATTAGGAAGCTACGCAATCTCGTCGTTTTCATATTGATAAACCAAACATAATAGCAGCAGGTGCGTACAAATATTTCAATTGCGAACAATAAAATATGAGAGATACGAAAACAACAACAGACCTTTAATGATATTTATTTGGACGAAGATATGTAAGGGGAAGTACAGGGGTTGAAAGGGGACCGTCGTATACAATTCCGATCATGTTTTAAGAGTGATCTTGTTAGCACGGAAACAATATTGCGTTACTGCCGATACGAATGTTAGGGGATGCGTTTGCCGAATGAAGTTGTCAATACCGGAAAAGGGCCTAATTTAGTAAAGTCAATTATATCGAAACGGTAAACGTTTTACATTTACGTTATTTTATAGCGCAAATGTTGCATAGATATACGTTTTGGCTTATTTCGTAAGATGGAACAGATAAATAACATCCCATTAAAATCTCGAACAGACATAAAACAGGGATATAAAGACTATATCGCCTTGGTTTAAATGCATGAATTTTATACTCGCATTATCTTAACGGATCTCCTATAAAGGAAATTCATTCCGATTTGTTACCATTGCCCAGTTCTGTACTACACCTTATTAGAAATATTCATTAGGTCACGTTCAAGTTTTTATTTTGTTGATTGGAATCTGTCGTGCTTAATTTGTCATCTCTGTCAAGTCTATGAGAGACGTCTTTGTTTTAAATTGCCGGAAAATGGTATCGTTTTACGTGATAAAAAAAGGCAATATAAGGTTTCATATCTGACGCTGCGAGTTGGGTTCCTCTGACAAGGAGATAAGTAAATTTCTGCTGCCTCTGCACTTTTTGTAGACCACTTTCGATTTGGAGAGCCAAATTAACGAAGTATCTCCGCCATTGCTTTCCATCAAGAAATATGCGGTTGAAGTCAGTTTAGTGTAGAAAGAGGAGATGAGCTTTGCCGAAAAACTTATGTAAACTTGTTTAGATTTTTTTTTGGTATTCTCATTGGAAGAAATTGTTGAGTTTGCAACCGGTCTTATTAGACTTTTTATTTTGTGGAATTAAAGTGAATCATAATTAAATTTCATATTAAGGGAGGCGAACTCAGAAGGGTTCCACGATTGGTAGGGTCACCATCAACCAAAATAAGCTGCGTTCGCAGTAAAAATTATTGAACCATTTAAATTTAAGAAATAAATGACCATTTCTCGTTGGGAAGTAATTACTCATGTCCGAGTTTTAGGTTTAAGTTATTTAAAAATTACTGTAGCTGAGGAAATGCATACTAAGTAACCCAATAATTTCCGTGTCTGTTTTTATTTCAATATATCAAAAGTCATTTCTGTCGTTGTTATTGAATTGGATAGTACAAACAACAAAGATACCCTTATTGGAGCAATTTATTATTTCAGCTGGGGGAGGTCCCTTAAGCAAACCTACATGAACATGTAAAGTAAATGAGCGAACCGATTGAGCTAGTTACCGGAGCAAATTATTTCAATGTTATATTTTTGTGTGACGTGTACATTATCTAATTAGATGTGCGCTGATGATGATCGAATTGTCGTCGAAACGCATACGTTTGGTTTTCTAACTAAGCGCCTTGCAAAAAAGCAATAAACAACGAAGCTATCAACAAGTGATTTGGTTACTCCTAATGTGGCTCATCAGTGGTGATGTATGTATATTCAAGCTGCAGAATATTACAGGAAGATATATCCCCGCTAACAATGCCCTTTATGGCAAAATTACACGATTGAAGTAACTTTAATTACGCACGTATTTGCTGAAAGCAATTAGCTAATTCTTGCACGGCAAATACTAAGCACCAAATTATATTTACATACGATACAATTGGCTAATCCCCACTCACATAACCTTCTGCGGTCTAAAACTTTACGACGCATTTTATACCGAAAATTCGTTCGTTCGTATCAAAGTGACCACAATGCCACATAAAATCTCCGTGGAATTTACTCCCTCAGGTAATAACATAAATCGTATCCAGTATAATTAAAACGATTTGGAAATCCCTTAAGTAATGTTTTCGGATGCGCTCAGAACTCAATTGCAAGCAGCAGAAATAATTAGCATTTAAAGACACTAACAGTGTAAAGTGTCAAACTTTACATTGTAACTGACCTAAAAAACGAATATAAAGAACGCCTTATACGTACCTATAACAAATCAAATAAAGTGAGCGTTCTGATTGATTTCTTTCTTTATACCTTTAATTTTCTGCGCGAGAAAGCCCTTTCAACCTAACAATTAGACCTCTATCGAAGTATACCTACCGCTAATAAATTGCGAATTACCGGAATCAGGGATTTTGCTCTAATTGAAGTAATGACTCGTAAAAACAATCCACGTTTCAAATGAATCGTTCTCATAATTTACAAGCATTAATCACGTAACACGTTTTCGTCGATTTGAAAATGCCACAATTGAAATTCTCAATTCTCCAGTTAATGGTTCTGTTAACGTATGTGTAAATAAGTTTATCAGTGTATTAGGGTTTCAAATCGATTTGAAATTACATTAGAACCGAGTAAAAGAAAATCTATAGATTATAGTTATTTATTTTCTCTTTTTCCATTGGTATCAGTGTTATCAGTAATAAAATAATAAAATAATGAATAGAAATTTATGAGGCATCTGTTGTGCTGCTCCTATTTTTCGAGGCAGTGAATTTGGTACCATCCCCAATGAAAGTACTGAATAAATAAAATGTAACTTGTTGTATAAAGTAGTGACCCATTTAATTTTATTTTCTTTATATAGGATTGTTTTACCTCAACCCCATTTACTGACAGTGGCGGACTGGCAAATTGAACTGGCCCGGGCAACCGAACAGCACCGGACACATAACGGGGGGTTGGTTATACCCGAAATTTTTCTCCAAAGTAACCCCCTAAAACAGCATTTTAAAGCATTTGCACTTATTCCACAATCGATTACAAATGTAGTTTTTGGGGGGGGGGGGGACCCGACACCGTACGACCGTTGACCGCACCGGCGGGGCCCAAAGTACAGCGGCCCACCGGGCACTTGCCCAGTTGCCCGCCGGCCTAGACCGCCACTGTTTACTGATATGTTATTCTATTCCAGCAAAAAGTCATCTTAAGGAAAAAAGAACGGTTTCACAGTTTAATAAAGATTCTTGACTTATTATTTATCATTTTGCCTCAAGCTTAAGAGACCAGAAGAGGATCAGCTAGCCGGAATACATTTACACTTATAACTACCACACCCCATTTAATTAAGATATAGGTAGGATGGGGGAGAATAAGTAAATAGTAACATCCGTTACACCCCAAGGGTTTGTCCTTGGTCCTATATTATTCAACATTTTTTTAATGATTTATTTAACTGTTCCGGATCATCTTCATGCGATATCACCACATATGCACTAGTAGTGCTAGTGTGCCTTGTAATGATCAAGAGTTAGAAATTAATTTAAAAGATGCGTGATCAACTCTTATTAATTGGTTTAATGAAAATAAACTTTTAAGCAATTTGGAAAAAACAAACATTCTTGTTTATAAGAAAAATCGGGTGTTCTTTCGTCTTCAAAATTTCTTTCTTCAATTCTCGCCGGATTGTACTGCTGTAAACATTTCTGTAACTATAAAGCCATTTTGAAAATGAATTGCTATTTAATACCTGAAAGTAAGGTGCCATACGTATGGGGCCATTAGGGTTCTGTTTTTTTATTTTGAAAAATATTTAACCAAGATCTAACACGTTGATTTAATTATTTATCAGGTCAAAAAATGCGTATGTATTTTGAGAAATTGTTTTTTTCATATTTTGATTTTGTCGAAATTTTTCTATCGTAAGGGATTTTTTTATTTCAGATTATTAAAAAAAATTCGAAAATGTTACTACTCCACGCAGCTGTGTACATTGAAAAAAGTAGAATTCTTTCCCCTGAAAAAGAGGTGTTTTTTTTCAAAAATCGTAAATATCTCGGAAACGGCTCAACTCTACGTGCTTTAAAAAACTCTCTCCTTTTTTATTATAAAAAAAGGTATGTTTCCCCTACTACTTTTTTTCGCAAAAACAATATTATAAAACGGAAAACAGTTTTCCCGTTTTTTCTCGGAAAATGTGTGATGTAAAAAAGTGTAGGTAGATACAAAAGTTATTCATTTGCAAAACACAACTTTTTACTCCTTTCAACCCCAAAGATTTTGACCGCGGAAAAATGCAGCTGTTCATTCAATTTTTCGATATAGGATTCAGCCTAGTTTACTTCAATGAGACATGGAAAAAACCCAAAATTTGTTTTTTAGAATAAATTGATACATAGAAAAAACAGTTCCAAATTAGGTACGCCCGCGATCAGATTTTTGTCGTTTTTCATTAGCACGTTGCTATTCCTCAAGGACTTCAATCCTTTGTTCATAACTTTAAGCTTCAAGAATAGCCACGTGCTAATGAAAATTAATCGAAAAATGGCAAAAAAAAACTGATAGTGGACAAGTCTATAGTTTGTAACCTTTCAAAATGTCATATACCAAAAAATCCTCTTTGAAGTAATTACGTCATGCTAAAAAAATAAGGGTGCTATATAAAAAAAATTATTGATGACGTTATAGATCTGTGAAATATGGCGCAAAGGAAAAACGTTTGGGACGCACACTGTATATTGTGACTCCTGCCAGTGGACTGTTTTTGATTTGTAATAAATCTGGTCGCACTAATTGTGTAATTTGGAACTGGGCCAAAGTGCAGCGACCTCATCCCACACTTACCTGAACTCGAATTTGAAGCAGGAATTTCATTTACCATGTCTGCTGCATAATATCCAAATTGGCATTACCTAAATAGTAAAAGGTAAGGGACGAATTATAAAGGTTGTAGAAATAATACAAACATAGTAGGAAACAATTATTTATCTATTATAAAACACTTTGGGTATCTTGCAAATTGCAATACACAATGAGCTAACACAAAGTCACTGATGTGTAATTGAAATCAAGCTTATATATCTCAAAAATATTTGAGAGGGTTTTGTGAGGGGGACGGTGAGCGAAAACAATATTCATATTAATGACAAAAATATACAATAAATATTACTTTATCACATCATTTAAATCTATCCAATTATATTAGTAAATTACACAAACACAAACTTTTTCATCTTATTACAAAAATATGGTGAAGATATAAGTTGTATAAATAGTGCATTTTACAGACAATAGTCATGTAATACTAGACAATTTTTAAAAATACACTTAATTCGTAATTTCAATATTTTACAAAATGTAATTCTTATTTTAACTAGTTTTTAACTATAGTCATAAAGAGAATTGGGGGTACGTACATTAATATACTATTAAAATTGCAATGCAGACTCAATAACAGCCATGAAAAACATTAATTAAAACATTTATGTATATGTAACGTAAGTATTGGTATATAGTTGATGATATGCAATTGTGCAGAGGATTATTTGTGTATCATTTATAACAATAACACAAAGACATATTGGTAACTTTCAGTCGCTTTGTATTTACGAACCATGTTTTTTCATGAGCATAACGGGTATTGCTTCCATTAGATAGTATGCGAAATTAAACGCAGAAGTTTTGTTAATAATAAATCAATTTGCAACATAATTAATAAATTCATTTGCATGTAAAACAAATTCAGTTGTACGAGTATTAGTAATGTAAATTTATGTAGATTATGTATAAATTTATTTATACAAATATTGCTGCTAAGCGTAAATAAAATTGGTTATGTACAAATTATACTAAAATAAGCTGCAAACTCAATTTGATAACCACAAAATGATACCTTCGATTGGATCGCCTAAAAAAGAGTTACCATCCGGAATGCACTCGTATCTGCAAAACGTATAAACATATATCTACAAATTATCCTTCCTACCCCTAACTATGTACAATAACTGCCTGTTGCTGCTGTACAACTGTTAATAGATTGTGGGCATGGCACATTTCTTTACAACTGAGTAGAAACTCTTTATCGAAAAATCCAATTTGCGTACCTACGTTAATACTTATAAAAGGAACCTTTTTGCTTCGAATCATAGTACAGCATCCATCCAATTCCAAAATGGACCGAAAGTAAGCGCAGACATTCCACTGGAGCGTAATCACTTCGCATGGTGTATATTGGGATTGGATCCAGTATGAATACAAGATGAATCGCGCAGGGAGGTTTCTGATTACGGTATTATTTAGTGGGATTTTGGAAACGTTTTGAGTTAGAATACATCACCTAGTAGAGTTCAATTCCGTACAAAATGAACAATATGGCATATTTACAAGGTCTTGAAGTAAATATACAGGGAAGTCTCGTTACAACTACTGCATTTGGACCATTTGGTTTAAATTACGTTGCCGAATGAAACGTAAACGAGGAAATTGACGTTCGTTGTTTATTTCATTTAGCCTTTATAATATTAAACGTAAAAGCTCACGCCCTTATGAGTGTCCAAATGACAACCAAATTTATGCTTGACGTACATAACGGGAATAAAAGGTGAAAATCAAAACATCACAGCCTATTATCAAGCTAGGAACGTGCTAACAAAATAATCATGAATGAACATTAATAAATAAAGCAGAAAAATTTTCACGATTTACATTTAGAACGCCTACGAGCAACAGCCGTGCGTTCTGTGTGACCGAAGCGTTTTGCTTTAGCGATCGAATGACGAATGTTCACGCCAAGTCGCAATTTGGTTTAACAGCGCAACTTTTCCGGGTAACATTAGGACGGTTGCAAAATGAAGAAAAGTCACATTTTTCAATTACATAAGTTAGTAAAACACGATCATCCTTATTTCACTATATCGTTAATTAAAATACACTTCTCTCATTGAAGGCGATCGTAACGACAAATTAAGTTCTACAACTTGCATAAAATTTACGTTACGCACAGAAATGCGATAATGAAAAGCGACAAAACTGTGGGAAAGTTGCCAATAATCGTTGTGCATCTACTGGCATTTATTTCAGCGTAAGCGGGCGTATTGACAAACGATGTCCTGGGGGCCTGCGTGGAGGGCTTTGTCTCATCTACACACGGTAATTCGGAAATGGGAATTTGAAATAAGTGGCGTAGATGCGGATCGTCCGGCTGTGAAATTGTCACCTGATTCTGCAGAGAGCTCTGCTGTTGCTGGTAATCATCTTCGTCATCATAATATACTAAATTGTCATCGTATTCGTCATAGCCAGCGGCTGAATTAAGAGGATTGAGCAGAGAATCCCCGTCGTCAAGTAGGGTGGTGCCGACAGATCCCGATTTAGTTGAAAATAAGGAAGTGGTTGGTTCGTGGTGATCGTCCTTCATCTCTAAATGGCACGTCAGTTTATCTAGCGTTTCACGGATTACCTGATTTTTTGTTTTATTTCTCAAGGAGTGCATCCAGATTAATCGGCAGTCACAAACGAATTTGTTATCTGAAACAAAAACCTTAATTAGAAAATGTGAGAGCGACGGAAGTTATTATCAGATTTTAATTCATCTGATAAAGGGAAATAATACAAACGAATGAATTTTAATATCCTCCCCGAATAAAAGTTAGTGGCAAGAGAAATTCGAAAATCGCTGAAATTTATTCTACTGGTGCGGATAATCAATAATTTCGTAACTATACACTTTATTCGAAAAGCGCTTTTCCGGATACTATTCCAATTCGAAAGTTTTACTTTCTTTTGCGGAAGTTTAATTTCTTTGATTTATTGTGCTGCAGTGTTACATGGATCAAACTTCAACAAAGCGCTGAGTGAAGGATTGCTTCCACTGATAAATGTGTAACAGCTGAACCGAAAACATATATGGTCAAGTTCAAGTCGTAACTACAAAAGTGCCATGGGTGCTTTTAAAAATGTAACAAACAACAATTGATACAAACAGGCATAAAGTTTATTGATAACGTAGATCACATGGATACTAAATTCTAAGGTCATTACCAATATTTGAAAAGAAGTTTCAATGGTTACAATGAACAGATCATATGTTTGTTTGTACAAGTATGTATTAAGGAAAAGGGAATTGGCCGCGGCTATAGCCAGGGGAACGGGTCTTCCAGTGAAACAACCACCGGGGTATGACAAAGCTCATATAATTTTTGGGCGCCAGATGTGCGCAAGTAAAAATATAAACTAAAAATATAATCAGAATACAAGCTTTCTGAATCCTCGGACACTAGTGGTACAAGACTGTCGTGGCAATGAATCCATATATACAAATAATATTTAATATCGTAAATAAAGAACTGGACATTATAAGCATGTTTCACTTTATTAAATGCAAATCTTCATCACAGCAGATTAGTGATTATTTATAAGGTATACTTAATCTAAACTCGATTACAGACAGGAAGAGAAACAATTTCACTAGCTGTATTACCTCGCACTTTTGTATTCAAGATATCAATTGCAGATCACTTCGTCACGGCATCGGCAAAGATAAACGGCAAGATAAACTAACGACAAAAGCAATTACCTATAACTATACAGGTTACCTGCACGCTTGCAATTTCCGGTATTTGAGATAAACATGTGCGTAGCGATTCTTCGATCTTATATACAATGTAAAATGTCAAAATCAGACCCAAATCAAATCCATTCAAACTTACGTACGCCATTAATAAATGAGTTTCGGATTGTGATATAGGTAAAAGAATGATAAGTAATTAAATTAAATCATACGGCATAACCTACAAAAACGTTTTAATAAAGAGGAATCCTACGGAAATAACTTTACTGAACGAGGATAAGGCCACTCCCCATTCGCGTGAAGGCGCTTAGATAATTAATTTAAACAATTTAGAATTTAATAACTCTGGAATTTTTCAATATATCAAGGTGGACGATGGGAAAAACAAATAGGGATAGGACTCGGAATGATACAACAAGGGAGATCAGCGAAGTAACTAATGGTTTAAAGAGAGTTTAGGAGCGAAGGCTGCAATGGCTTGGACATGTAATGAGCAGGGAAGACGGATATGTTGGAATGGTGGGCAAAATGCAGGTGGATGGGAGGAAGCAGCGAGAAATACAGTATACAGTCTGTGAAAAGGGAATGCAAATTTTTGACTTCTAAAAATGTAGCTGCTAATCAAAGAACTTTGGGTCTGTGGATTATTTAAAAAAATTATGTACATAGGTAAAGGTGTCCTAAACAACATACTAAAAGTACTGATCCATGAAGGTGGAGCTAATAGGTGAGGGGGGTGTAAAGGTCCCTTTTTTCAGTTTTCCATAAATACCTCGTAAACGGTGGCCCATAGTAATCTACATAAAATTGTCCACACAAAAGGTTCACTTTTCGCTGGAATCAGTATTTACAAATGTATTTCAGAAAAGGAAAGCTATTAATAGTCAATTCTACGCATCATGAATGTGATAGTTATGTATTAATAAGTCAATAGGGAATATGCATGTGGTTTAAATTTACTTGATTCTTTCTCCAGCAAATATTTATTGTCCTGACATTATACTTAAACCATTAGTTTCTTATTTAGTTTGTTTTTAATTGCTAAAAATGTTAATTCAAAAGTGCAAAATAAGCGAACGAAATTCAAATTTGCGAAACGCTTCACTATTGGACGAATGAAAGTGACGTCAAATGCCACGCGATCGCATTTGTTGTGTCAATATTCATAAGTACTTAGTCCAGTCAAATTACAGTTTGGGCAGATTGAGCTGGGTGTGTTCATTTCACTCAAAGAAATCAAGTGTCTTTTATGTAAAAAGATCCGCTGAATCTGAAAATCATAGTCCCCCTAGCCGAAAACTCCCGGAATATATTGTTATGTATAACCAAAAACGAAGAAAAAATGGCAAGATGTCGTTTCTTTTCGCATTTGACTTCAATTATCTCGTTAACTATTACTCTAAGGGAAAAAATGAAGAGAAATGAATTGGTTTAGAATTGAATTTTCTAAGAGATACAGTGGGTATGAAACGTTCATTTTCAAATGGTCGTGGCTTGTGACGTCATCCAAGGCCCGCTGAAAATGTGGCGGCGTTTAAACACATCGAATAAAGTTAACGTTTTAAATATTATTTTACAAGTTAAATTGAATTGTTCTAACAGTGTTTACTCTTTTTACTATGTTAGAACGATGTAAAAAAGCGATTATAAAATTTAAAAAATTACATGCATATTCCCTATTGAGCCACGCGAGCGGAGTTCTTCAAGCCTACTGAAACAATCTGAATCAAGCACCTAGGTAACTGGGGGGGGGGGGGGTCACAGTGTTCAAACTTTCTTCATACATGAAAATAGAACCGGAAATTTGCTGGCTACCAATGAATCGTTTTGATTCCAAAATCTACGGCTGGTTGATAAGTTTTTGGAATGAGGGTATTCAGTGGGGTGGGGTCATTGAACCATTCTTGAATCTTGGCTCGATCTCGTAAGTCGCTCTGTTGACGTGATAGCTAGAAATCAACGTGCCGAATTTTCCAAAGAACTGTCATACAAAAAATAACGATGAAGAGGTTGCAGAGTTTTTGACCGATGAAGTAACTCCATTCCCCACGGCTGTATATTGCTCGAGGTTGAAATTCGAAAAGAGAAGAAGCCATCCCTCTTATACACGACCGGAGAAAAGCATTAGATAAACTTTTCAAAAATTATGCAAATAATTTCAAGACCTTCCTTATCCTATAGCGCATAATTTCTTTACAAAAAACAAACCAATTAAAACAAATTACAATCCAGCTATAAACAACAATTAAATATCGCCCGAACTACGCAAATTTGCACAACAATATGCAACTGAAAATATAAGCTCAATTGTGGAAATAAAAATATCACAAAGCGAAAGAACAACTCAAACCTTTAAATCCAAAATGAAATCACAGAAGAAGGGAAACTTTTCTAGCAGGTCCGTTGAAACATTGTTTTACAAATGCCTGTCACTACTATAATGTGTCCTTAATTTTGTTAAAAGCGGCAAATTACCTCTACCGACACAGCAAGAAAATCCTAACATTTACTAAAACTCTTATAAACTTGAAATACTCAAAGGCCTCAATCACACTCTGTAAATTTCAATTAAATTGACATTCGGATAAAAAGAAATACTAGAAAAAATCTGACAGAAAAATAAAACTCAACCTGGATTTCACATTGAGGTTCAAATTGATACAATCAAAAATGACTAGAATTTATTGTAACACACTTCGTTTCAACTCAAAAAATATGAAGTGATCTTATTTATCATACAAACTAAATAATACAAATAGAATTAGATGAACTAAACAACTACCGAGTAAATTTATAATAAAAATCTAACATTAAAATGATAAATCAACAAATTTTTCCAATTCTGTGTCTATTTGAAAAAAATACCAACATCTTATGAAATAACCTGAATTATGTCACATACAACTGCTATTTCTGATATACAGGCCGATATTAGGTTAACAACACGTATTTTTACACTACAAGAAAGCACGCTCTCATCTTGGATATTGTTGCAATCTAAAGACACGACACCGCCATGTCGTTTACACTATAATAATTAACACGCTCCACTATGCGAGTTATAGTCTTAGAAAGGGCATTGAAATTCTTCCCCGATAGAAACGAAAATGAACTAAATTAAATTAATTAACGACATTCTGCGATTGTAGAAAACAACCAGTATGATAATGTTGTGGAGCATATTAATGTTTTCGCGTTGTAATTTCGATACAAATAAATCAAACATAATGCCGCAAGTGGGTAGAGAGAATATTTGCAAAAAATCCACACTACTTAAGATACGACAAATGCTCCTATAAATAAGAAAAAGTTAGAAGTCTTCAATAAATAAAACACGAGATAGAAAATATTACAAAGGAAATTTATTATGTTCCTTGATTGGCAAAAAATTTCGGCGAAGACGCAGGAAGCCTATTGTCGAAAATTAGATTGTTGAATATTAGATGCACGAGAGGTTGTTCACAACGATGAATATGTTGTGGTCGATTAATTTTGGACCATTTTTCACGTAATATGAAAAGGAAAATTGAGGAAAATAAAATTATTTATGAAATGAGGCCTGGAATAATTCCGAAGCCATTTAGGGAGCACAAATCAAAACCTACTTCTTATTAAAGTGACGTCAAACGCAGGAACTAAACGATGTTATATATCATTTATACAAGAGCCCCCAACAGCATCAAATATCAAATCCGAACCATTTACCAATATTAAATCAATGCTGTAAACAACAGAGATGAGACAGGGATTGTATTAATTCTGCCAGATCTCTAGGGAGCACAGGGTCAGCGTCGCCCCATGGGGTACTAATCCGCACTGATACTAATGCCAATTAAGACCTGGGGCTACGTAAAACTACCAAAGCGTTAGGGTATTTTCGTTATCGATTGCCTAAAGTATGATCGGGTTTTGTAATATTATTTACAATTGGCAGTTAAGGGGTTATCGTACTTATACC